GTGAATGCAGACACGGGGTCACTCTGATGCTCACACATCAGGGAAGCTCAGGGCGAGAGGAAGCTGCTGCACAGTACAGTGGCAATGAGGAGAGGGAAGTGAAATAGATAGGTAGATTTAGATTAGATTATTTTTTTTAAAGTTAGGCTGACATTGTTCTATACCCTGTGTTTCAGACTCCATTTAAGACTTTGTGGTGCGGTAATACACGCATACAATGCATTACAATGCACTTAATCCTGCAATGTGTTAAAGCAGCCCATTATTTTGAATGGGTTTCCTAATGCACCAGAGAAGGTGCATACACAGCATTTAGCATAGTCAACCTTAAGGCCTGGTTCACACCAATGCGTTTTTTTAGTGATTTCTGCAGAAATGCATTACAGTCCATTTAGCATGGTTTGCTATGGGACATGTTCACATCTATGCTCTTTTTAACTGCTGTGTTTTTTGAAAGGTCAGGGACTTTTATAAATGCAAAAAGCTGCATTTTTGCTACAATAGAGTTCAATGGAGAAGCTGCTGAAACGCATGTAGTGCATTTTTGCCACGTTTTTACAGCGCTTTGCATTTTTTATCTGCCCAGCAAAAACATTTCCACTTTAACAAAACAAACACTGAAAAAAAATCATAAAGTGCAGTAAAAACGCTTCAAAAATGTGCATGCAAAAAGCACTGCAAAATGGCCAAAAAGCACAATGCATTGGTGTGAACCAGGCCTAACACACAGTGGTACATGTTGGGAAAAGCATGTTAGTGTGCCATTCAGAATGAAGGGCAATGCAGCGCACCAACATGCAGACGGGCAATGCAGCTGGATGAATCCTACCTAAAGTACAAAGTTTATTGTAAACTACTGGTGTATGTATGAGGATAGTCAACTTCTTCCCAGGTCAGGCTTTTTTTTTCAGAGAAAAGGTGCAGGAACTCTCCTCTCCTGGGTCACGCTTGACTCTTCCCTAGAACTGCCTCTTTTACAGAAGAGGGAACCAAGTATAATTTGGGGGGCTATTATGAGCCCTTAGAGTTTGTTATTGCAGTAAAAGTAATAATAGGCCCACTACAGCAAGAATAGATTCCTCCAACCACAACAGACAACCTCCCATATATCCAGCAAAGAGATATCCCAAAATATTCAGCAAAAAGAAATCCCCATATATTCAGCAAAGAGATGGCCCTATCCAGCAAAGAGATAGTCCCCATATGTCCAGCAAAGACACATCCCCTTATATTCAGAAAACAGATGGCCCAATTCAGCAAATACACAGTCCCATATATTCAGCAAAGACATGGCGCAATCCAGCAAAGAGACATCCCTATATATTTAGCAAAGAGACATCCCAATCCAGCATGGATACATTCCCATATATTCAGCAAAGAGACATCCAAATTCAGCAAAGAACCATCCCCATATATTCAGCAAAGGGACAGTCCAATCCAGAAAAGAGACATCTCCATATATTCAGCAAAGAGATTGCTTAATCACGCATTAAGACATACCCATATATTCAGTAATTAGGTGGTCCAATCCAGCAAAAAGACATCCCCACATATTGAGCAAAGAGACTGCCCAATACAGCAAAAAGACTGCCCAGACCAGCAAACAGACAGCCCAATCCAGCAAAGAGACATCCCCATCCAGCAAACAGACAACCTAATCCAGCAGAGACATCCCCATCCAGCAAACAGCCCAATCCAGCAAAGAGACAGACTAATGTAGCACAGCAAAGAGACATCCCCATTCAGCAAAGAGACAGTCCCATCCATCAAAGAGACCTTCCCATCAGGCAAAGAGACAACCCAATCCAGCAAAGAGACATCCTATCAAGCAAAGAGACAGCCCCATCCAGCAAATAGACAGCCCAATCCAGCAAAGAGACATCCCCATATATTCAGCAAAGAGACATCCAAGTCCGGCAAAGAGACAGCCCAATCTAGCAAGGATATATTCCCATATATTCAGCAAAGAGACAGCCAAATCCAGCAAAGAGACAGCCCCATCTAGCAAAAAAGACATCCCCATCCAGCAAACAGACAGTCAAATTCAACACAGAGAGATCCCCATATAGTAAAGAGACATCACAATCCAGGAAATAGACAGTCCAATACAGCAACAAAGAGACAGTCACAGGCAGCACAGGTCCACATCCAAGCAGCATTAACATACACACACAATTACAGCCCCATCCAGCAACATTGTCATATTTACTAAAAACATGTCTAGCAACTTGTCCCCAGTCCACAGTGAGCACTGAGCAGTGATCAGCTCTTCAACACAGCTGAGCTGACTGGCTCCAAAACCAACATCTGGACTGCAGGAAGAGACGGAGTGCGGACGATATTACAACATCTTCCTCTCTCTTGGGCTGCAGCCAGAACTAAGTGAGCTCTACCTGGAACTAAGTGAGCTGCATCGGCTCTAAGTAATACAGAGAGTGTTTCTTCTCCTGTCTGTGGCATAGGTGCTGGAACTCCATTCCAGCACATTCTGGCAGAAAAAAACCCTGTCCCAGGTAACAGGTAAAGTTTCTTGTTAGGTTTTGGTCCAATTTAACTGAAAATATTCCAACCCATAATTCTTTATTACTAGTCCAATAGTCAAAACATCACCAGACTTATGCAGCTGTGATAGAATTAGTATCAAGTCCTTATACTAACGTTTCCATTTGTCATACAAATCATTTTCTACAACATAAAGTAGTAAATGTATCATCCATTCCTGTAGGGCTCCATTCACATCACTGGCGGTTTCGTGTGTTTCCATGTGTCGCATGTACAACAAATTCATTTCAGTGAACTCCCCTATGTGTGAGAAATGCTGAAAGAAGTATCTGACCCTTCTGAGAAATCACGCAGCACCAGAACACATAGTGCTTTTGGTAAATGCAAAAAGACGCACACTTGCATATGCGTGAAGGTGCATTTAAGAATTAAGGCTTGGGGGTGCCATTAACAACTCTTGCATTCACAGATGTGTGGGGGTGACATTAGAAATTAATGATGGAATGGCACTCCTGCAAAAGGACAGTGCGTTTCTGTGCATTGTGGGAAAACACACGTTCCCACAATGCACAAATGTGAACCTATCCTTAGATATTTCTGCAATTTATCCTATGCTCATCATAAGAAGCGCAAGCCATTCAAAACAGTACAAGAGAAAGGCAAGATTTTCTATTATATCTGCTCCTATGTACCTTCCTTACCTTCTCTCCTGCTCTGTTTGCTTAGGCCTTTCTCCCCACTCCCATGTGATGCCATGGGCCAGTGACCAAGTACCCGGGCTGTCATATGAAAGTAGGATAGTAAATCACATGATCCATATTGGAAAGTAACAGCTGTTTCTTGTCACCCCCTGCAGCAAACAGACCAGTAGAAGAGCGATGGAACAGTAAGTACATGCGGTAGGATTCACTTTAATATCTATGGAGAGATGATGTTCTTTATCGTTTGTTAAAGTGAGGCACAGTAGCTAAATGATAATACCTCAATATGCTCACCCTATAGCCAAAGCAAACAAGTGCTAAACTAAATAAACTATGTATAAAGGTATAAATCAATTGAATCAAGTACATATAATAATATAAACGTAGTGTAAAAAATTTTTTTTTATATAAACGCAGTGTCCAGAAATAAAATATCATAAACACAGTATCCAAAATACCAAGGTATAAATCAATTGAATCAAGTACATATAATAATATAAACGCAGTATTCAAAAATTAATAATATAAACACAGTGTCCAAAATACCAAGGTATAAATCAATTGAATCAAGTACATATAATAATATAAATGCAGTATTCAAAAATTAATAATATAAACACAGTGTCCAAAAATAAATCTTATAAAAACGCAGTGTCCAAAATACCAAGTGTTCAAAAATATTAAAGTCACACACTAAATATGCAAATCCATGTCCTTTCTGCAGATACTTTCCCAAAAAGACTCCTAACTCCAAAGTGATCCAGATGGCAAAAGAAATAGCACATTAGTACCACTAAGGGTATACACCATCCAAGGAAAGCTAATCCAGCCTGGATTTGTTCATTTAGATGTCCTCATAGCCTCATGGATAATGCTCCTAGCTGTCATCAGGACCTTGAGCAGGATTACTCCATAGTATTCATAGTACCCCTCATATATAAAAAGGATATATAGTGTAATTCTGTATGGTATAAATAAATAACACTTTATTATGCTCTTACTTTTAAAAACAGATAAATAGCACCACAGCTCTCATAACCCAAACTTCATGCAGAGTCTCAGCAGCTATCAGAAGCGTCTGGATGTGATTTCTTATCTCCAAACCTTAATGCAGAGTCTCAGCAGTAGACCGGAGCGTCTGGATAACATCTCTTGATCTTATATGTACTTAATTCGATTGATTTATACCTCGGTATTTTGGACACTGCGTTTATAATATTTATTTTTGGACACTGCGTTTATATAAAAATTTTTTTTTTGATACTGCGTTTATATTATTATATGTACTTGATTCAATTGATTTATACCTTTTATACATAGTTTATTTAGTTTAGCACTTGTTTGCTTATGCTATAGGGTGAGCATATTGAGGTATTATCATTTATTACACTTTCAAGGGTGAAAGTAAGACTTATATGCTTTCAGGGGATAGGTTTATATGTTTACTTGAGCTACCATCTTGATTCAGATAGTAGCTAAATGGATAGCCTTGCAGCACTTGAGTTCTGGTTTGTTTTTCAATTACAGTGGAACTTGAGCAAAAAAAGGGGTTTTTGTAAGTTCTGATGTGTAAAGAAACGTTACCTTTGCTCAGTTGCTATAAACGGCCAGAGTGCTTCACAGTACTTTAAAATAAATACTTTTCTTTCTGCCGAATAGTACAGCTCCTACTACACTTCCGGCTCGCTCCAGATACACTATATTGCCAAAAGTATTGGGCCACCCCTCCAAATCATTGGATTCAGGTGTCGCAATCTCTTCCATGGCCACAGGTGTATAACATCAAGCACCTAGGCATGCAGACTGCTTCTACAAACATTTGTGAAAAAATGGGTCGCTGTACAGGAGCTCAGTGAATTCAAGTGTGGTACCGTGATAGGTTGCCACCTGTGCAATAAGTCCATCTGTGAAATTTCCTTGTTACTAAATATTCCACGGTCAATTTTTAGTGGTATTATAACAAAGTGGAAGCAACTGGGGACAACAGCAACTCAGCATTGAAATGGTAGGCCACATAAAATGACAGAGCGGGGTCATGCTGAAGCACACAGTGCACAGAAGTTGCCAACTGTCTGCAGCTTCAATAGCTAAAGACCTCCAAACCTCATGTGGCCTTCAGCTTAGCACAACAACAGTGTGTAGAGAGCTTCATGGAATGGGTTTCCATGGCTGAGCAACTGCATCCAAGCCTTATATTACCAAGTGCAACGCAAAACGTCGGATGCAGTGGTGAAAAGCACACCGCCACTGGACTCTAGAGCAATGGAGGCGTGTTCTCTGGAGTGACAAATCACATGTCTCTGTCTGGCAATCCGATGAATATGTCTTGGTTTGGCGGTTGCCAGGAGAATGGTACTTGCCTGACTGCATTGTGCCAAGTGCAAAGTTTGGTGAGATTTTGGTGTGGGGTTGTTTTTCAGGGGTTGGGCTTGGCCCCTTAGTTCCAGTGAAGATAACTCTTAAGGCGTCAGCATACCAAGACATTTTGGACAATTTCATGCTCCCAACTTTGTGGAAAGAGTTTGGGGATGGTCCCTTCCTGTTCCAACATGACTGCGCACCAGTGCTCAACGCAAGGTCCATAAAGACATCAATGAGCGAGTTTGGGATGGAGGAACTAGTGCAGCAGTCAATGAGACCCAATGGCTCTCATATCTGAAGCGGGCTAAAAGTACAGTAGGAGCTGTAGTATACAGCAGAAATAAATATATTGATTTCCTTACATATTAGAACTTGGTTTCCTCTACAGTACTTGTGAATGTGGCATTGTGAAAACTGTCCAGCAATAAATTTTTACTAAAACAGAATGTACTATTTCTTCTTTGAAGGCAAAGGTCTGCTATAATTGATTTAGAATCATACCAAGCACAAGGGTTCATCATAATATGCTTAGAAAATAACTCAAGCAGTTCTGCTTATATTGTTTTCAGGCAAACATCTTCAAAAACAAAAAGCTGCTTTACCTGGATAAGACCTCTAAGAACTGCTCACTGGTGGCAGATCTGGACTTGTAGAAACTGTCCATGTCTACAAAATCTTTTTTTCTTAGGTAACTAGCAAAAAGTTGTCTTTCAGTCACTACAAATGATGACAGTTATCAGCAACATATTATTATGAAGGTCATAGAGGATCATTATAGGTACTTATATAGCACTGTCATTTTACAAAGCACTTTACATATATTGTACATTCACATTAGTTGCATAAGTTCTAAGGTCCCTATCTCACAACCATACATACACATACTAGGGCCATTTTAGACATGGTTGGGATTTGAACCAACGACTCTAGTGCTGCCAGGCACTAACCACTAAGCAAATGTGCTGCTGATAGTAAGGTCTCATTTGCACAGGCATACCTATCCTTACATCCATGGGAAGGGCTGACTTTGTCCACACAGGATGCACACTGCATTTAGGGACATGCACTCAAATGGATGTCAGACTGGGACCAGCAGTAGTGTCCATGCAGCATTCCAATTGACATGACTGAGACTCCCTGCATGTGGATGCACAGAAAATGCTTCCTCATCACTGGCTGTGATTGACAACAGTGGCAGCCACTGGTAGCCTCCCAGTCAATGAAGAGGCAGAGACCTGGGAGAGCAGCTTCTCTCGTGCATCAGGCTCAGGTAACTATTAGGGGGGCTGCAAGGGGAGCTGCATACAGAAGGTTTTTTACCAACATGCATGGAATGCATTAAAGGTAAAAAACCATCAGCCTTTAGAACCACTTTATTATTATACAGGATTTATATAGCGCCAACAGTTTGCACAGCGGATTTTTAAAATATTTTTTAAAACACATTAAAAACATGAAGATGTTTCAGTAAGTAAATATATGGGTGGAATTGAAATTTTGATTGTTTTTAAGAGGATTGAGTGGTCTAGTAGAGAACAGGTTTGTTCTCAGTTCAGTCTTTGGGTTCAGGCACACACTTTGGCCAGCAGCAGGATGATTTTAATGAGCAAGGATATACCCAAATTTACTAGAGACAAAGGACACAGGCAGGAGTTTTATTGTAAGAATTAAGATACTGCAAAGGCTACAGCAGTACAAAACAGGCCAGCAGCAAGGCAGTTTTATTCAGGGATAATATGCCTAACTTGTGTATGCCTAACTTATTTCTGATCATAAGGGGGCTTGTGGAATTTGAGTGGTATAATGTGAGATGGTTTAGATGTGTGCTGAGAACAGATGGGAGCTTGGAGAACAGATAGTTGGTAACAAGTGAATACTCCATTTTGAGAACCTCAAACATAAAATAATGCCCCACAAGCTTAAAGGATAAGTTCACCTTTTGTAACATGTTACATGTTACACCCATATTCAGGGTGTAACATGTTATAAAAGTACAAGCCCCTGCTCCCCCCCCCCGATCCCCCGTTGTGACAGCTAGCGGGATATCTTCTCCCCCCCCCCGGCTAGCTATCACAATTGAAAAAAAACATGGTGGTGCAGAGCTTGTAATTCTCAATGAACTACCATGACGCTGTTGAGTGCTGTAGTGGTTCACTGATTCTTCCTGTCTGTGTGTATCTGCTGGCCCCTGCAAGGATCAAGCACACAGGTACACTGACATGGCACCAGCATTCTGCTGATCGCTGGTGCAATACTTTACAGGTTCCCAAAACAAAAAATTGTAACTGCACATTTTTTTACCTGCCAAAAAATGTGCACTTAATATTTTTTTGTTAAAAAGGTGAACTTATCCATAAAAGAAACAATAAAAAAAGAAACAAAATTAAAAACGAAATGAAAACAATAAAATATCACCCTGAAGCCTACGGTACTTGCAGCAAAAGAATAAAAAGGCATTATAATAAACCAAAAAAATAAAAAGGCATCAGGCCCCTTTCATGCGGGCGTTCCGTTTTTTTCATCAGTTCAGTCACGGTTTTCCAAGTTTACATTAGGTTTTTCATCAGTTTACATCTGTTCACATCAGTTTTTCAGCAGTTCACATCAGTTTTTCAGCAGTTTCATCAGTTTACATCAGTTTACATCCGTTTTTCATCTGTTTTTTTTTATCAGTTCGCATCCGTTTTTCATCAGTTTACATCCATTTTTCATCCGTTTACATCAGTTTTCATCTGTTTGTGTCTGTTTACGTCTGTTTTTTGTCCGTTTACATCCGTTTTTCATCCTTTCCGTTTTTTTAATGGAAGAAAAATAGGGTTTTATTCCGTTCAAAAAAACTGATGTTAATGGATTAGAAACATTTGCTATGTACAGGATAGCAGCTAAAAGTGACAGCTTATCTCAAAATCAAAATAAAATGTAAGACAAAAATGCCCCAAAGAGCTGGAAATCAAAATTGAAGTACAAATATGGTGAAAATACAGCGAACGCTTAGGATAAAAATACCATAAACTGCATATGCACCAATATAGGAACCCTAAACCTAGTGAACAATATCAAAATAAGGAAGCGGTGCAGTGCTAAAAAACACTATATAAAAAATAATATATAAAAAATAATAAAAATAGATAATTCAAATAAATCTATAATAATCAATAATCCAGGTTATAACTTATTATATATAAGTGAATATAGCGCTATAAATGGCGCCAAACATAAATGTGATCATGTGAACGTAATAGACTGTTCACATGATCACATTTATGTTTGGCGCCATTTATAGCCCTATATTCACTTTTTTATAAAATAAGTTATAACCTGGAATATTGCTTATTATAGATTTATTTGGATTATATATTTTTGTTATTTTTTATATATTATTTTTATATAGTGTTTTTTTTAGCGCTGCACCATTTCTTTAATTTAAAATTGAAGTACAGTTTGCTAACTTAACCAGGGGCGGACTGACCATTTGGAAATTCGGGCACTGCCCGAGGGCCCGGGGTCAGTAGGGGGCCCCATGATACCTTTTTCATAGGCTTTTTTGAGTTTGGGCAAGGACACTGGGGCCCCATGATCCCCTATTACCCTGGGGCCCCATGAGTTGTCAGTCCACCCTGAACTTAACATTAATCTCTCCCTTTGCAGTTTTTCAGTTTTCCCTACACCAGCTTCCAAGACAGTTAAGCCAGCCATATATTGATGGAATTTTGAACCTGCGGGATTCCCTTAAAACCCATGGTAGCAGCAAACCCAAACCTCATCCCTATTGTGGTGCAACCTGAAGACCGTTGTAAAAACCTTTCTGCAAGCACAGACATTTTCAGTTCCAATTTCAAAAATTCCATCTGTCACAGAATATAAAAACTTGTGAAGGTGTCATATGATAAAATCTGTGTTGTGCATCAAGAGGTCTCTTCAGGTTCCGACCAACCATATCTGAAATCTTGTTTCTATATACAGCACTATAATGGAAATTAGTAAACAGTACCTGTTCATCCTGTTCGTATGAACAGACTGAGGTTTAATGTAAACAGTCATGGTTTTCATTTCATGCAAACCGCAAGAAATCTATCCTCTAAATTATTTGAGATATTTACACCTAGGGACATATTTATAAAGCACTGGCAGTGGATCAATCACTGGTATTTAAAAAGCACCAGAAAGGCTCACCTGCACTGAGTATACCTCTTTCACACTGATCTGCTGCAAAAACAAGTTTTTGCCATGTATTTACAGTGCTTTTGCCATGCATTTTTGAAATCATTTCGGGTGCGATTTTGAAGCGTATTCCCATTGATTTCAATGGGGAAGTGCATTTTTCCTGCGATTTTTATTTAACTGAACAAACAAGCTCCAAAAATGCAGCAAGCAATTTTTTTACACTGCAACGGAAGTGCAATGTCCCAGTGTGAAAACATATATAGACATACATAGGGAAGCATTTTTAATGAGTTTTTCTTGCTTTTTGTTTAATACAGGACCCTTAACCTCTCTAACGGTCTGATTATGTCCATATATATGTGCTCAAAGCGGTACTTTTTTTGCATGGAAATATGTATTTTTTTATTGTAGGCCTGTAATTTTCAGGAATAACTCACTGAAATCTGTCCGAACAAGAGTCTAGTAAACATCCCGGGTATGTTAAAATTTGAAACACGAAATCATAAATTATAATTTAATAAATAATCCTAAAAAATAATAATAAATTTAATTCAATAATGTAATCAAACCAAAAACACTGAAATTTTAAATATAGCGCCAAGTTCGCACATCACTGAGCAAAGTCGCAACATCATTTTCAGTGTCTGATGATGAATTTCCCCACGAATCATTATCACTCAATTCTGCAAGTAGTTCTAATTTACTATCACTGTTCTCTAGCTGATCTAAAACCGCTTTTGACCTAAAGGGACGCTTTTTGGACGCCATGGATGTTTCTCAGTTTCCAGGCCAGAAAGAACAGTAAAAATGCAGGCAGGGCACAGGACAAAGCACTAGGGACAAAATGTATGTGAAATGGTTTGATACAGTAATGTAATACTATGTGATTTTAGTGAATTTAGTGAATGTCACTTTTACAACTTTCAAATTCCCTGCCATTCCGTCCCCGTACGCTCACAGGGGATGGAACCCAGAAGATAGATGCCAGCATCGGCCGGAGGACATTACAGGGGACACTGCAGGAGGGACATCGCGGGAGCGCAGGACAAGGTAAGTGAAGAAGAGATCCAGGAGCAACACTGCAAGGTATTCCCGAGTGTAGCTTTATCTCGAGATACACTCGGGAATACCGCCAAGGAGGTTAAAGTTGCTGTAAACCAAATTTTTTTTTCCTTCCTTCTGCCACCTTCAAAGCTTCCCTATTGACCAGTGAAGCCATCGCATAAAAGGCAAGTAGAGAGGCATGAGAGGTAGGAAGCAGTGTGGCCAAAGTCCAGCTTATACAAAATGCTATATTACCCTAAACATGTCATCCCTGTACCTGCGTGGGTTTCCTCTGGGTACTCCGGTTTCCTCCCACATTCCAAAGACATGCTGGTAGGTTAATTGGCTCCTGTCTAAATTGGCCCTAGTATGTGTATGTATGAATGTAAGTTAGGGACCTTAGATTGTACGCTCTTTGAGGTTTAGGGACTGATGTGAATGTACTATATATATACATGTAAAGTGCTGCGTAAATTGATGGCGCTATATAAGTACCTGTAATAAAGAACAAATGCCACTTTTACAGGCGTTAGGTGTTTATTTTTTGTCAGCCTGGAAACATACCTATACTGTATATTAACACATGGGTCCATTCACACGTGCTTTTACAGGTTGTTTAGAAGGGAGAATTTACAGGCTGGACAAAAAAATCACCAGCGTGTTCAGGAGAGGAGTGTTTGGACAGAAAGAAACACATGAACATGCCTAAGCGCACATTAATTCTAACTGTTTTTAGGCATGTTCACACATTTGTGTGTTAATGTGATCATTTGCTTTTACTGCATTATTTATGCAGCTTTTTTCCTTCCAGGAGAAAAGCTGTTTAGAGGAGCTAGGCTGAGTAAATGCCTTACTGTGACTGGTAATTCATAGTTCACTTTTGAAGCCCCATTAGGAGATCAGTTCATGATATACAAGGTTTTGTACTGAAAATCCTCCTGCTCATTGCTGCCATGGAGGAGATACAGTTAGGAAAATTGAGGTAAGTATACATGTAAACCAAACTATTTTTTTTCTGTTATTATTCCAGAAGATGAAGCATCACCCTGTTTGCTGTGGGTAACTGTTCTGCCCTTGCCCCATTTTCTTCAGTACCAGTGCTCCTCTTCTGTTCTGAAAGTGTTTCCTCTGATTTTATTGCACACTGTAAGCTTCTCGCAGTATGCATTAGTTGGCAGCAAGTCTGACTCTTTACCTGGTTGGAAGATATCCATCACCATCTAGCTCTTTCCTTCCCAGCCTTACTGCACCTTGGTCCACCTATTTCATTCATTGGATTTTAGTTCTTTCAATAATAGAGGCTCAACATCACATGGGGCATTACTTAGAGCACATGTGTCAAACAGAAGGTCCACAGACTGAATCCATCCCACCAGATCATTTCCTGTGGCCCTTGCACCCAGGGCTTTTATTCAGCAAGAACATGGCAGAACTCCGCAGCTCTCACCCTCCGCTCCCAGCTCACCTCTGTAATTTGTAAACACAGAAGCGTTTTATTTTTGCAACAACAGCTTTTATCTCAACAGCTCTCACAGATCCCTATCTGCCCTGCACTCACAGCAGGGACAAGGGAGATGCAGATGCAAGTGCAGTGCGGGATGGGGCATTACAATAAGCTGCACTGTGATGCTGATCAATTATTATTATTATTATACAGGATTTATATAGCATCAACAGTTTGCTCAGTGCTTTACAATATAATGGGAGACAATACAGCAACAATATAGTTCAATACAAGAGGGAAAGGAGGGCCCTGCTCCTTGGAGCTTACAATCTAGGAGATGAATGATCTTGTGCAAGTGAGAGAGTGCAAGAAGAGTGGAAGTGAGATATGGACAGCCTGTAAAAGAGAGCTGAACCCTGAACTCTGCATGTAGTGCACTCCTCAACCCTGCATTCTGTACATAGCACATCCCTGCACTCTGTACGCAGCACACCTCTGCACTCTGTGCATAGGGAACCCATAAAACTGCACTCTGTACATAGCGCACCCCTGAACCCTGCACTCTGTGCATAGGGCACCCCTGAACCCTGCACTCTGTACATAGGGAACCCTTGAACCCTGCAATCTATACATAGCACACCCATGAACCCTGCACTTTGTACACAGCGCACCCCTGAACCCTGCACTCAGTACATAGTGCACCCTTGAACTCTGCACTATGTATGTAGCACACCTCTGAACCCTGCACTCAGTACATATCGCACCTCTGAACCCTGCACTCTGTACATAGCGCACCCCTGCACCCTGCACTGAGTACATAGCACATCCTTGAACTCTGCACTATGTATGTAGCACACCCCTGAACTCTGCACTCAGTACATAGCGCACCTTTGAACTCTGCATAATGTATGTAGCGCACCCCTGAACCCTGCACTCAGTACATAGCGCACCTTTGAACTCTGCATAATGTATGTAGCGCACCCCTGAACCCTGCAGTCAGTACATAGCACAACCTTGAACTCTGCACTATGTATGTAGCGCACCCCTGAACTCTGCACTCTGTGCATAGGGCACCCCTGATACTACACTCTGTACAAATCGCACCTCTGAACCCTGCACTCTGTACATAGCGCACCCTTGAACTCTGCACTATGTATGTAGCTCACCCCTGAACCCTGCACTCAATACATAGCGCACACCCTTGAACTCTGCATAATGTATGTAGCTCACCCCTGAACCCTGCACTCAGTACATAGCACAACCTTGAACTCTGCACTCAATACATAGCGCACCCTTGAACTCTGCATAATGTATGTAGCGCACCCCTGAACCCTGCACTCAGTACATAGCACAACCTTGAACTCTGCACTATGTATGTAGCGCACCCCTGAACTCTGCACTCTGTGCATAGGGCACCCCTGATACTACACTCTGTACAAATCGCACCTCTGAACCCTGCACTCTGTACATAGCGCACCCTTGAACTCTGCACTATGTATGTAGCTCACCCCTGAACCCTGCACTCAATACATAGCGCACACCCTTGAACTCTGCATAATGTATGTAGCTCACCCCTGAACCCTGCACTCAGTACATAGCACAACCTTGAACTCTGCACTCAATACATAGCGCACCCTTGAACTCTGCATAATGTATGTAGCGCACCCCTGAACCCTGCACTCAGTACATAGCACAACCTTGAACTCTGCACTATGTATGTAGCGCACCCCTGAACTCTGCACTCTGTGCATAGGGCACCCCTGATACTACACTCTGTACATATCGCACCTCTGAACCCTGCACTCTGTACATATCGCACCCCTGAACCCTGCACTCTGTACATATCGCACCTCTGAACCCTGCACTCTGTACATATCGCACCTCTGAACCCTGCACTCTGTACATAGCGCACCCTTGAACTCTGCACTATGTATCTAGCACACCCCTGAACTCTGCGCATAGGGCACCCCTGATACTGCACTCTGTACATATCACACCCCTGAACTCCACACATAACGCATTCTTGGTATTTTATATGCCCCTTTAAGAACCTCCCACTGTTCAAAGTGCAATTTGCACTTCATGGGGGGAGGGGGCTGGTTGAGTGGTTGAGTTCCTATACTTATCCTCTGAGAAAAAAAGCCCCGAAAAAATGTATGTAGTCATACAGATACAATCCGCCCTTTGAGAGCAACTATAATGCTGATGCAGGTCATAGTGAAATTCAGTTTGACACTCCGGACCTAGAGCAGTCTCTATGTAAATACAGCCTGCTAGGCACACCAACTTCTCCAGACTGACACCCATCCATCAAATTATTTTGATATTTGCATAACCTCTCCCAAGAGCTAGCCCACTGCTTGCATCAGGACTGAGGGCTCTTGAGACAGGTGCTATGATGATTTCAGGAAGCTAATTACAGCAGCCTGACTGCCCCTCCTACCAGTCACGATCTCCCTGCATTGCATAGAGAAGCACAGAGACACAGTGATGACAACACTGGATCAAAAATAATGTATGTAATGAAAACCGAAAAGGTTTTATTAAAACAATTAGTTGATGCGGGGGGAAGTATAATTATATTTTAAATGAAAATATATTTTCATTCATTTTTACCAGAATAAAGTTGATTTTAAATTAAATGTGTCTGGTCACAAAGGTCAATAAATGATCCTGACAGATGGGTCTGCATGAACTGGTTTATTTTTCGGTGCTAGAATGCTATGAAGAAGCAAAAACAGGTTTCTCTTGTGTTTTCCCAGCTGCTCAGAGGAGAACATCTTCCTTCCAGCCTCAGACTGCTTCACTGCACTGTGAGCTAATGTAGGCATGATAGGAGTGAGCAGATACAATTTGACAGGTACATTTAGCTAGACCCGCATTTACATGGCACATGTCAGTGATTACAGAACCCCTTTTGTACATAATTAATGGTATCTGTTAATAGTTATTTCTAGCATTAACATTTAAAGTAAAATTAAAGTCAAAACTTGAAAAAAAATAATTTCAGATTTGGATAGACTGTTGAGTGGTTGGAACCAATGTTTGATTTTTATTGCTGTCTGTGTTCCCATTAGGGAGATTCACCCTCTAATTTTCACCTGTGTCTTTAGGAATGAAAGTGAGGAGAAATACACAATTTTGAGTTGCCACCAGGATGGGAATAGAGGGGAAATCTTCCAATGGGGACCCTTGTTACTGTGACCATTGTCTAAAGCTGGGTATTATTATTATATAGGACTTATATAGTGCCGACAGTTTGCTCAGCACTTTACAGGAGGGAGACAGTACAGTAACAATACAGTTCAATACAAGAGGGATTAGAGGGCCCTGCTCCTTGGAGCTTACAATCTAGGAGGGAGGGGATAGTGGTACAAGAGGTAATTAGCTGTGGGGGATGGAGTGGTAGGAAGAGTAGAGGATTCCAGTATTAGCTGGGGTAGGCTTCCCTAAAGAGATGGGTTTTTCAGAGTGCGCCTAAAAGTGAGCAGAGTAGGCGATAGCCTGATAGATTGGGGTAGGGAGTTCCAGAGGATGGGTGAAGCCCTTGAGAAATCCTGGAGACAGGCATGGGAGGAGGAGACAAGGGAGCTAGATAGTAGGAGGTCTTGCGAGGAGCAGAGAGTACAGTTTGGGTGGTATTTAGAGACAAGGTCGGTGATGTAATTAGGGGCAGTGTTATGAATGGCTTTATACGTCAGTGTTAGTGTTTTGAATTTTATCCGTTGGGCAATTGGGAGCCAGTGGAGTTATTGGCAGAGAGGGGTGGCAGATACAGAACGGTTAGTAAGGTGAATGAGTCTGGCAGCAGCATTCATGATAGACTGGAGTAGGGATAGCCTGCAATGAGGTAGGCCAGTGAGGAGGGAGTTACAGTAGTCAAGGTGTGATATAATAAGGGAGTGAATGAGTTGCTTAGTGGTTTCCGGGGTTAGGAATGGTCGTATCTTGGAGATGTTGCGGAGGTAAAGTCTACATGAGTTTGTCAGCGATTGGACCTGGGGCTGAAAGGACAGATTGGAGTCTACGATTATACCTAGTACCCTGGCGTGAGGGGTGGGACTGATGATAGTGTTGTTGATCTTGATGGAGAAGTCGGGGGGTGCACGGGCTGGGGGGGAATACTACGAGCTCAGTTTTGGAAAGGTTGAGTTTGAGGAAGTGGAGTGATATCCAGTCCGATATGTCACTTAGTAGGCTGGTGATGCAACTGGAGACTGAGGGGGTGAGGTGAGGGGTAGAGAGATAGTGTGTGTCGTCGGCATAGAGATGGTAGTTGAAGCTGTGGGAGATTATCAATTGGCCAAGGGAGAAGGTGTAGATGGAGAAGAGGAGGGGTCCGAGGACAGAACCTTGAGGGACCCCAACAGAGAGAGGGAGTGAAGGGGAGGTGGCAGCATTATAGGTAACACTGAAGGAGCGCTGCGATAGATAGGCGGAGAACCAGGAGAGAACGGAGTCTCTGAGGCCAAGTGAGTGCAGTTTTTTGAGGAGGAGGGGGTGGTCAACCGTGTCAAAAGCTGCAGAGAGGTCAAGTAGTAGGAGTATAGTAGAGTGGCCATTGGTTTTGGCGGTTAGTAGGTCATTGGTGAGTTTGAGTAGGGCAGTTTCGGTGGAGTGTAAGGGACGGAAACCAGACTGTAAAGGGTCGAGAAGGTTGTTGTCCATGAGATGGGAGCTCAGGTGATTGTAGACTAAGCGTTCTAGGAGTTTAGAGGTAAATGGCAGTAGGGAGATGGGTCTTAAGTTGTTCAGGTCGGAGGGGTCCAGGGAGGGTTTCTTAAGTATGGGAGTGATGTGCGCTTGCTTTAGAGGGGAGGGGAAGGTGCCAGTAGAGAGGGAAAGATTGAAGATGTGAGTGAGGGAGCATAGGATGGAAGAGGAGGGGGACCGCAGGAGTTGTGAGGAGACAGGGTCCAGGGGGCAGGTGGTGAGGCAGGCTTCGGAGAAAATCTTAGTGACCTCTTCAGTGGTAGTGAGGTCAAGGGAGCAAAGTGTTGAGGGGGTTATTGTGTGAGGAGTGCTAAGTGGGGTGGGTGTCTGAGCAGTGGTGACATCCCTACGAATTGCGTCAATCTTGTTTTTGAAGTGGTTAGCAATCTCGTGGGCGATAAGTGAGGTACTGGGTGGAGGTGGAGAAAGTACAGAGTTAAAAGTGGAGAAGAGCCGTCGAGGACTGGAGGAGAAGGTATTAATGAGGGTAATAAAGTAGGCTTGTTTGGCAGCGTGAAGGGAGGAAGTGTACATTAAGATTTATAGCGGGTGAACGTTTGTTGGGATCTGGGTACACACAGACTGAAATTTGACCGGTTCAGCAGAAACCAGACCAATCTCGATCTGTGTGAAGCCCTCTTTGTTCAACAGAAGACCATCAATAGACCCATTTTCTTTTGAACAGTTCTGCTGGAAAACCAGCATTTGATCAGCCACTGCAGTCAGTGGCTGCAGCACTCCTCCGTGTAGTCTGACAAAGTCCGAGTCCCCACTGTCAGAATATAATAGCGCAGCAGGAGAGATGTGGACGCAGGAATCTGTCAAGCTTTTTTTCCATTCAGCATGAAAAAAACCTCAGTGTACACCCAGCTTTAGACTCAATGCACACAAGCATTTTTATCTCCTAGAAGCTGTTATTAGCATTTTTTTCTGCTCCTAGAAGCTATAGTGTTATCCTATGTGTCCATGCACACTACTTTAGGCTATTAGCATTTTTTGAGCTTCATGTCTAGGAGCAGAAACAAAATTGTTTTTGTTTGGAGAGTTTTTTTCAGCAGAAAAAAAACACACTAAACGGTACTAAAATGCTCCTAACAGCTTCTTTCTAGCTTTTTTCTCTCCATGTACTGTAAGGCTCCATGCACACTGGGCGCTTTAATAACGCTGGTAACGTTAGCTGTGTAAAGTCACATAAAGTCACAGTTTTTCAGTGTTTTTGCATTAGTGTTTAGCGGCATATGCTACTTTTTTTTCACATTTGCTTTTTTTTGTGTTTTTTTAACTCAGAAAAAGTCCAAAAATGCTGGTTTGTATCAGTTTACCGCATTTTACCGCGTTTTGCTGCGTTTCAGCGTCAGAGCATTTTTACAGCTAAAAAACTCCTCTAGAAACCCACTAGTTCTGGGAGGGGTTTCCAGCCAAAAAAAACGCTGATTACAGTCTGTGTGCATGGACATATAGGATAACATGCTGGGAAGTGTACTGGCTGTAGAAAAAACGCCAAAAGCCAAAAACAGCAGCTGTAAAAACATCCAGTGTGCATGAGGACTAAAAATGCTTAAAAAAATACTAATGCTCCTTATCGCTCCTGAATGCTACTAAAAACGCTATTACTCGTGTTTTTATCCGGTGTTTTTTAAGCTTAAAAAAAAAGCGCTAGTCTGCATGGCCTTGTGCACACTGGGCTTTTTTACAGCTGCTGTTTATGGTTTCTTGCGTTTTTTTTCTACAGCCAGTAAACTCCCCAGCATGTTATCCTTTGTGTCTATGAACACATAAGGTTTAATCAGCGTTTTTTGGCTGGAAACCCCTCCCCCCAGAACTAATGGGTTTCAAGAGGAATTGTTAGCTGTAAAAACGCTCTAACACTGGTAAACGCGGTAAAATGCAGCAAACCAACATGTTTTTGAGCCAAAAAATTATTTTTGTTTGTGTAAAAATATGCTAACACGGCAAAACGCAGCCGTACACTAATGCGAAATACTAAAAAAGCTTTTTTAATGCAACCTTTTAGCCTGGGTTCACATGTGCAGTGCGGTATATCACATGGGATTCACACAGGAACCACACTGCATTCCTGTGCAAATCACATGCGATTTGCGTGCGATGCGATTGGAGCCATACATTTTGTATGGCTCTATTTGCACTGCACCCACACCAAAAACATGCAGGACCCTTTTTTGGGTCCGCACTAGAATCGGATCGCATGGGTATTCACA